AAGCTGCGCGAAGCGCAGGAGTAAAACGCCTGCGCGGCCCGTCCGTAACCGCCGCCCGACCCTTTCAACCTTCGCCGACTTCGGGGCTGCGGGTCGCGCCGTCCGTCGCCCGAGTAGCTCCTGCGGGTGTCTCCGGACAAACCCCCCCCCCACCACCACACACCCAATTTGCTCCGGGCCAGGAGCGCAGAGAAAGCTTGTGGGCTAAACTTTACTGAATGTATCGGTAACAGGTTCACCGGTGCCTGGCTTTACCGAATTAAGCAGATATCCTGAGATCTCGAGGAACTCGAAAGCATAAACTAAACCCGCGGGCTGGCATAACCCGGTGGGCTAAAACGTGCCCAAATTGTGCCAGTTATTGCGGGAACTCAACCCGCCTGCTTCGCTTCGCTTCGGGTTCCGTGTGTTTGGGAACCCAGCCCATTCGATTGGTGCATGCCCCAAATCATGGTTAAGGCTGACCATGGGTTAATCATGGTTAGCGGAACTGGCGCATTAGCTCCCTTAACCTTGGGTGAGCGTCCTGGGCCAACCGAGCCCACTGGGCGCCTTTTATGACACGCACGGCTGTGTTAACCCAGGAAAGTGGCCACTTCCATAACCCGGGGGAACCTGCTGCGGTCCGGGGAGACCGAGTTCGTAGCTTCGTCCATTTCTCAGGTGTGGACGAACTGATTCGGGGCAGCTTTTTTGCCAACCGGATTGTGGACGCAAACAAGCCTGCGTGGCCCTCGGTGCTGAATTCCCGCCCTTGGGATCCGGCTGGGAGAAGGCTCGCGACCGGCCGCCTCCGCCGCCGCCGCCGCGTCCTGCCCAGCGTCTCCTGGAGGTTCGTAAGCCGGCTGGGATCCAGCGCAAGCCGGTTGCGAGCGTGTGGGCCAGGACGGGGAGGCACAATTCAAGCCCAGCCGCAGTCCCCGCGTGGTTTGGGACCTGCGAGCCCAGCGCGCTCGCAGCTTTCCTGGAAGAAGGCAGGATCTGCCCCTCGAGGAGGAGGAGGAGGACAGGGCGAAGCGGGCGAGAAAGAGGGACGCGTTTCGTCCTGTCCCGCTGCTGGCGCCTAGGCTGGAGCGGGAGTCTCGAAAACCTTCAGGCCGGGTAACCTGTTAATTAAAAAGAAAAAGGGAAAGGAAAAGAAAAGAAAAGAAAGAGGAAACACCAAGGGGGGAGCTTCCAGGGATAGGAACTCGGCTGTGCTCGACTGATTTTCCTTTCCTTTCGCCCCGCTCTCTTCTCGCATCCACCCCTTTAAGTTCTTGCGGAGCCCCCGAGTTGAAAACGAGGCGCTAGAAGGCAAGAGAAGTCGCGGCAGCTGCGGGGCCCGCGCCAGGTCCCGGCTGCCCGGGGGCGACTCGGCTCCTTCCAGCGAAGGCGGAGGGAAGGCGCGAACTACGGGCGGGTTCCAGGCGCGCTCGCGGGTGTTTCGCTGCGCGGCTCCAGCTTCTCTGTT